GACTCAACCTTTGTTTTATGCCATCGGTGCTTGAATTTCTGCCCCTCTCCCTTCATCTGACACAGCCTGTCAGAAAACCAAGCAGATGTGTGGGTGATGGGGAGGGAAGCATTTTTACTGGTATAGTTTGTTTAATTCGGGGACGATGGTGGAATAAGCTATAGTAGTAACAGCCCAGCTTTGTCAGTATGGTGGTATCTGCAATAGGAGCACTTTGCAGGCATACTATGCCAGTAAAGCATTTCTAGTGTACACGTGGCTTCAGAACGGCTAACGGAGACAACAATCCCTAGATCTTGACCTCACTATAGATTAGTGCTGAGCATGAGAGGCTGAAATGGTTCCTCCCACTTCTAACAGAAAAAATGTCCCCTTGCTATTCCCCCAGCACCTTACTGTGAAGATCTGTTAATTCTTTCAGTGTAATAACCACTCCCACCTCATCTGCAATAAATCACTTTCCTGCCTCTAGACTTTCTCGCATGTTCAACTCAACAATTGAACCATAAACCATCTGTTCTTTCCTGTATCATGGCTCAACCCCCTCTTCCAGCACATACATTTTGTGGCTTTGGATTTAAACACTAACTTCCTCGTCCTGTAGCCTGACCCGAAGTTGGGTATATATAAATGTAACTTGACGATAAACAAGTTCTTGTCCCAAGATCAGGCCCAGTAATTATCATATAATTTGGGAACCCCCAGGTGCACAGGTGCAACACTCACACTATAGGAACTCTTTATATATATATTTACAAATATATACTTTATTCATAATTTTGCAAAGTTATACACATACAAACCCAACAAAGCAGATAGAGATAATACAGAAAGTACATTTGGAAAGCCATACTTACCCCCTGGAATGTTAACCATTATCTTTCTCATCAATGTCATCATCCTCATTTTGCCCTCCCAAGGTCTACATCTCTCCAGCCTCTCTGCTGCCCGTGCTATGTTACTTTTATAGTAGGTTACGCTGACACTGCCATTTCCATTGCATATTCAATAGAGGTCCTTATTTGTATTTCCTCCCCTTAAGGTGTTCGTTTTCTATAGGTTAGTATATGTATGATGTTATCCTATTAGCATACACGTCAATTTACTGTCATAGCAGCTTTGCGGTCAGAGGTTCTGTCTGAAACTTTCTGGATGCTGATGTCAGCTATGTTCTGTGCTGGGGTCAGCTGTGTTCTGTGGGTGGCTAATGTCAGTATTCTGGACAAAATTCCCCCTCTTGCATGCTACTTTCAGCTCCCTATAACTTATGAGTTACTTAAGTTTATCTGTACCAAAGGTTATAGGCCTCAAGCGTCACACTATCTACGAAAGCCAAATCTTACAGGATAAAAGCCTATAGGTTCCTCGCATTACTACTAAATATAATAAAGCAGAATAACAAAGCAATGAACATAATACAGGTAAGCTGGCCCCTCTGGGCTACAGGCCCACGCTCTGCCCCAGCACACACACTGCAGTGATGGTTAACGCTCCTTTGCCCCTTCTGTGAGACCACATACAAAATGTTGGGGGAGTTACACATGGTGTGATGCTCTTCCCACCCTGGATGCTATTCATACACCCAGCAGAGTGATGTGCCATTAATGGAAGGGGCAAACTAGGGGAAATTGGAGAGCAGGATGTACAAATTTTACTATCACAATCATTCCCTTTTCTATTAGAAAGAAATGCTGGATGGCGCCACTATTGTTCCTGTTCTTTTCTTCTGTGTTCTTCTCACCTGATAGATTTTGTTCCAATGGCCTGACCTAGTTTTGTCTTGGTTTCAGGAAGTGACCAGTGTAGTGTTTTGTGGGCGGGTTTCCATTTGGGATTGAAAGCGAGTGTGCAGCAACTCTTGTTTGCATGACTGGAGGGAGCGGTAGGCAAGAAGGGAGGGGATTGATGTGAGGTGAGTGCTTTAGTTTCAGTTTTGCTCTGACTATTCCTCTTTTTTTCTGTGAACCATTTCCTGGTTTGTCTCTCCTCTTGCAGGCTGCTCAGAGAGCTGAGGAAGGAGATGCCATGGAGAAAGCAGTGAGCGATTGCTTACATGACATTCTTGAAGAGCTGACAAAGAATGAGCTCAAGAAATTCAAGTTGAAACTGAACAAATTTAAGCTGAAGAGGGATAATGTCAATATCCCCATGGGTAAATTAGAGGATGCATCACCTGTGGACATGACTCAATCCCTGCTCAGCTACTATGGAGAGGACTATGGGGCGGAAGTGACAGTGAATGTGCTGAAATCTATAAACAGGAGAGATCTGGCTCAGAAACTCTCTGAGACACTGAGACCTGGTAAGAAATAACCTAGGGAGAGCTCTGCCCTGCACAGTGTGTGCGTGGGGGGGGAGGGAGGAGGAATTGTATCTCCTTCTCTGCAGCTTTGATTTTCAGCATTTGCTCTTTTTTTAAATAATATTTATGGACATAAATAACTATTTGCTTTGTGCTGAGGTGACGGCCGCCATCTTGGCTAACATACTGGGGACCAACCCGTGGACCTCCAGTGCTAAAAGCAGGAACTGCCAAAGCTTCATAAAATGGAGCTGTAACAGACTTGTCTGAGAGATCAGGCAGAGAGGAGAGACGTGTAACACACATTCACTAGTGAGTTACACTGACACTGTGCTCAGCCCTCTATACTGCACAGAGAGGCAGGGATGGTCCTACCCCAAAAAGTTTGAGGGAGAACATTTCCCAGCCAAAGCAGGAGCATTATTAGAAATGACAGAAGAAAACAGAAATCTCCCAGATTTTAACCTGTCAATCTTTAATTCAGCTTTTTGTGCTATTCAGAGCCAGTTTCACTCACCATTTTCTGACTCCACTTCCAGGCTCCAATTATGCCTGCAAAGATTTGCAGGTGCTTAACTTTACACACAGTGATTCCGGCTCAGAACTGAACTAGTGGTGTAAACTCTTGTAATTGTACCATTAGTCATACAATATTTTGTGTTTTATGTAAAGCCCCTGCTTCTTGCGTCATGTGATTATATAACTCAATTTTGTTTAAAATAAAAAGTACAATTCTAGTTCTCGTGACTGCAAAGAAAAACTACAAAGTATAAACAATAAATGCTCAAAAAGGCCAATAATTTTTTTTTAATCTTATGTTTTAAGACAGACAATCATGATTTTTGAGGGACCTGACTCAATTTGTGAATGCTTTGGTTTGGCAACATTGCAGTGCTTAAGCACATGCTTAACTTTAAGGACATACTGATATCCAATTGACTTCAGCAGCATTACTTACAGCAGTGGTTCTCAACCTTGGGCCACGGCTTGTTCAGGGTAAGCCCCTGGCGGGCCGCGAGATGCTTTACCTGAGTGTCCGGAGGTACCACTGCTCACAGCTCCCGGGCCAATGGCAGCTGCGGAAAGTTGCTGTGCCCATAATTCTGATCTACGATGCAGTGGGGCTCCTGGAGCAAGATTTATCTTTGATCCTGGGAAATTCCACTGTGGGGACAGTGTTGAGTGGAACAACAACAATCATAATTAATAATAGTATTTCTTTATTTGGATTGGGTCCTGTGAGGTTAGGAGTTCAGAATTCTACTCCCAGCAACTCTATAGCACTTGTTAAATTATTATTTTAAAGAGGCACCAGACTGACCTTTCCTCATTCCCACTTTGTTCCTATTCACTTGCATTGGAAGGAGAATCAATAGGTCTCTATCAACTCAGAAAGTAAATTGAATTAAATGCATTCCAATAATCTCTTTCATTTGCTTCTCTTGTTAGATGGTTTAACTCCAGTCCCAGAACCTCAGCAATCCCCAAAGCCAGGGGACAAAGACCGTCCCAAAGGTATTTTCCTCTTACACCCCTTTGGTTTTACCTTTACTTAGCACTTCTAGTTAAAAAAAAAAAATGCAACACTGGTAGGTTTTAAATCCTGAACCAGACCATGGAGTAGCTGTTCTAGAAACTCTGACGCTTCTCAGGGGTACCAGGGCTGTGAGGCACCTTGTTACCACCTGCCCTTAGTGTGAGGAAACCTTGTCTGTGCCTGCCAGAGGCCAGCTCAGCTGTCCCTTTGAAGGTTAGCAATAGGCACACCCCAACCCCTGAGGCTTCTGAGTGTCCATCTCTAGTGGTCCGCCCCTGATCCCC